GCGGTGCTAATAATGCAGCTAAAATTACACCCAACCCAGTTATGCCAGGTATATTTTCTCACAATCAGGTGAAGGATGTTGTTAGAATCAAGGGTTGGTTGTGGTTTTTGGATAGGTTTGCTAATGGAAGGTATTTATACGTTTTTGGTGGTGGGGGGGGGGGGGGGGGATCTTTTGAGCAGGCAATTTAATCAATACAGTGGAACAAAGTATTGCAATATCTAATTAATTAATTATCTGCTTTACTTTTGTATTTTCTCAAAGCATTCTTTCTGTAATAAGGTCCTGTGTCCTGAATGTTCAAGGATAGATGTTTTTGCACTTCAGTTAATAAATGTGACAGTTGAGTTGAGAAGTCTTATTATATGTTAAGAATCGCAATAACATTGTATTGTGGCCCAAATATCGCAATATCATCGAATCGTCACTTTTTTGCCAGTTCCCACTTTTATTATACAAACTATTACACTTAAAGCTGGGGTACCCAACTTTTTTTTGTCTCAACAGAACATGAAAGTTTAATTTTGTGAACCAACCAGACTTCAACATGCTGTCATTTGGCACCATTTCATCATTTACAAACTTGAAATGAAATGATGCTATTGGAATCTATGGGCTGATAGCTGATTGGCTGAGAGAGGGTGGTCCTCTCTTTCACTTTTCTGTCTGAGGAAAAAATAACTGATCTTCTGTAAAGATGTGACAAAGGACAAAAATACACGTGAAAACTAGTGATCAAACCAAGCTGTTTTGAGAGCAAGAAATTAGACATGTTGAGGCCAGTTTAGGTGTATTACATTTGTTTGAAAGTCTCATACCCCAGCTTTAAATACCCTCATTATATCTCGATTGTCCGAAACCAAACACGTTTCGGGATCAAACAAAGCATCTCCCCATGTTTGATATTGACGTCTCGCATGTCAATACCTCCCCAGTGCATGAAAACGCTACTATAAACTCCAATCAATCCGACAATGCGAGAATTGTCCGATGCTCACCTCCTCATGTGAACACAGAGAATCAACCCAAACCCTCAACCCCACCCCCCTCACCCTCCCTCACCCTCCCTCACCATCCTGTTCCACCTCACTCATTCTGCTCTTTACAACCGGGGGGCTTGTCTTTTCAACTCCAGACAAAAGCTCCCAGGACCAGAGCAGTGCAGACTTTTGGAGACTGCGAGGAGGAAGAAGAATGGAGCCTAGGGTTAAAGAGGCGGCTATCTCCCCTATCCCCGGTGCTGGTCGTGGCGTGATGTTGAGGGTGGGGGTGATGGAGGTGGAGGTGGTGGGTGAGGGGGGGTTAGTGGAGCAGCTAATCAATAGCCACAAGGTCGTGTGTGTGTGTTGAGCATGGCGTGGCCTGTTAGAGGACCCGCGCAGAGCCGCTGACGGGGATTTGTTACACTTGTCAGGGGCTTAGAGAGGAGTCCTCTGTGGAGCGCTCACTCAAGTGAACGGGGAGGTGAGCTGTGCTTAAGAACGGCAGGGGAGGGGGACATCTGCTGGACAATACGGAGCACTGCGGGGTAATTAGGCCACCCCAGGTCCATTGTCAGAGACAGAGAGAGAGAGAGAGAGAGGTGATGAGCATTTGGGAAGCAAGCATGTTAAGGTGTTATCAAAGGAATGGCATGTATCAGAAAAAGTTAATGAAAAACTTGAAGGACAAACATTCATAGCTCACAGATTAGTACAATGTTAAAAAGTGACATTTGTTTTGGTTCACAAATTTAAAAAAAACATGTCCCATTGTTTTTCTTCATTATGAGCTTATATAATTGGTCACACGTTTTCAAAGATGTTATACATTTTACATGAAGAAAAAAAAAATTCATGTATTTTAAGAATTTTAATGCTAAATAATCCCTGACTGAAAGCGGTTTAGACTGAAGTAAAAAGACTTATCCTGCCTTACCCCTTATGCAAAGATGACACATTATACAAATTCCGCATATACCAACGACGATAACATATTATAAAACATGTTATAATTCACACTCTGAGAGACGATTGGGCCGGAAAGACTGTTCTGAACAAATCCATGCCGTTCTGTCTTCATTGTACTATTATCATAACCAATCTGTTTTTAGAGCGAGGAACTAGTGACATGGATTTGACCACAGCTATTTTGTTGTGGTTTCAAAGTTCTTCAGCTCTAACCTCTGCTCTTCCCAATGGTGTCCAGGCCGCCTTTTTATCTCAACATACAGTATCTGCTTTCACATGAGCACTAAAACTATCAAAGCTATCAAAACTGTGTCTATGTCCTGTCATAAAATTGCATCCATTATAATTTTCTGATATATCTGGTGTTATATTGTTTAGTGTTTTGAAATTCTTGTCTCTGGTGCACTCTGGGTACTTTCTAGTATTCCAATGTGTTTCTAAACTGATTCATTCATTCATTTACCTCCCCTTTATTTGTCAATTTCTCCATTTTCACTTTGGTTTTAAATCCCAAATGGCAAATAATCTCATGCCATACATTATAATTTCAAACTTCCCAATCATCAACAACAGTTTGACAGAGACAACACAGACAGATTTCATTCCTTAAGCCTTTTTTATTGAGTCTTTGAAGAGGAGAATGATCTAGTTTGCTCAAATACTATAATTACACAGATTTAACTCACGTGTCACAAAGAATACGTTTTCCTGGCATCTATATTTTTCTATTCATGTGAGTGCTGCTCTCAGTAATACCCCACCATTACTATTACAGCACAGTGCTATTGTTACCTTCAAACCCCTAATATGTGTTTTCATTTTGGTTTTATCAGATTTTCCCACATCCCCTCTGTATATTTGACAAGCCAGCATATATCCACCATCATTTCCAAAACAAGTCGATGAATAAATGGCGTCTCTCTTGCCTCCGCGATCAAAACTATTCAGGTCGAGTCCAAAAAAAAAACCTGTCAGACTGTCAGACAATGTAACTACAAGCCTTCCACTTACGCACAATCAGAGAACTCTCGCCGTCTACCATATGAGCAACGCACCTGCTCCTGTTTAAGACTTTTTAAGAGCACTCCAGGTAATTCTACTCCGCTAATACCCGAGCTCAGAGGATTAGTAATACACTTTTCATTCTCTAAGTGCGCCTTTGAAGTCCTACCTTTTTTCTCTCGCTCAATCAAAGTAAAGAATTCTCGCTTGTTTCTTTTTCACTCAAGAATGTGAAAGAAGGAGGCGAGAGGAGAGAATAGTTTGGTGTAAAATAAGGCCGGTGTATGTAGCGGTCGGCAAGAGAAGTCCGCTGGTTGCTCTGTGTTTACCTCAGCGGGGGATCTAGGGGGACCCTTTATCAGCGCTGCGCAGCTTTCTGGAGCCATGATTCTCTCCCTTTTGCCTCCCTTTCCCTCCCTCTACTTTCACTTTTGTGCGGTGGAATGCGAGGCAGGCCAGTGCTGATGCGGATCATGCAGCGGTGGTCAGAAGCTGGAGAAAGATGAAAATGAACTTAACGTGGGATTTCTGTTGTGTGTTCTTGGATAAATACTTTCGCTCATAGTTTCACTTGGATATTTAAAGTTGGGGTACCTAATAGTGGAAGGGTAAGGGTTAGGGTAATTATTTTTGTATAGCCCTAAGTCACAACATCAGCTGTCGCGGAGGACTTTACAAAGTTGTGGATTCCAGTTTGAGAACCTTGGTCCATGGGGAGCGGGAATGACCAATGACCATAAATGTTATTAAATGTCCTTAAAGGTACACTGTGTAGGTTTTAATCCAATCTAGCATTGAGATCATACATTGTAATTTACGGTACTAAATTACAATATGTGGTCTTTGACAGTGGTCCCCAACTCCTGCTCAAACTGCTTTTTGTCCCTTATCAACCACTGTATTTCAAGATGGCACATTGACACAGAGAGTCTTTCAGTTCAAAAATGATAATACTGTTTTTAGATATCAGCCAATACCTGATCAATAAAGCCTTATCTTGTCCATCTTATCTTATATCTGAGACTACGATTTATGGCAAAAAAATATGATAACAAAACAGATGCAATGTTTCCACATTGAGATGTTCTGGGCTATTATCAAACCACAAAAAAGTCCAATTTAATCAAATAAGATGGAATAGATTCAACCATAATAGGAATAATAGTAGAAACACTGTACGGTCACCAGGTCACTTTGTCCTCAATCATTAACTAATTTATTAATCCTGCTACTTTTGGCGCCAAAAGCGTTAAAACAATTGGGTCAAGTTTCTGAATAGTAATAAATCCTAATGTAATGAAGAACCGCAGCTGTGTGAATGGCGTCTGTAATAGTAGTGTTGATGCTAAAGAACTGTTATTGTTCTGGCCTAATAAGGGTTTATGTTGTCTGCTGAGGAGCTTAGTAACTATAGAGCAGTGGCATTACATGTTATCAGCTTCAAAAATAGTCTTTCTTTTGAAGCACTAACTCTGGCAAAAAAACCATTCCCTCGCATCATATGAAAACCCTGAATCTTGGACTATCTGAATAATGCACATATATATATTTACCCAGACTTGAAAGATGCAATATTTCTCCGCACAGATAAAACACATCTGCTCCGCCGCCCTCCGTCCTGCCGATAACCTTGACGACTACACACGTGTCTATGAAGCAGCCATAATGCGCGGTTGCCCTTTTCGCAGTCGGTGGCAAATCTTTTCTCTATTCTGTAACAAACTTTGCCAGTGAGTCGGCTGCTTTGAGTTTCTCTACTTTTTTTGCCTGAAGACACAAATCATCATATCAGCCAAGGCAGCAGCTCTTGAGGCGCGCCATGCCCTTCCACCAGTCACTATATAAAAGCGTGCTACTTGTTTGAGGTGTCATGCTGTCAGATCTGTCGCACTACAACAGCCATTCAACTCGCCAGGATACACATCGCTGACAAGAGCACAACTTGTCTTAACAAATGTCTCCTTTTTTCTTTCTCTCTTCTTCTTCTCACAGAGTGCACAACTTTAATGGCGTCCCGGTAGAGACTTCATGATGAATACTCTACCGTCAATGGACCGGCACATCCAGCAGACCAATGACAGGCTGCAGTGCATCAAACAGGTGTGGTATTGTCGTATTATTATGCACCAGGACTGAGTGTGTGTGTGTTCTCTCTGTGTGTGAGGGCGATATATGTTACAACAGACAGGTTTGAACCCAAATGTGGGAGGGATTTTTATGTCTGCTTTCGTTTATCCTCTCGCACCGGTGTGGGTCTCACCTTGGAACTTCTTAAATCAGCTGTTCCAGAAAAAATATCAATATTCAGTAAATATCTATGCATTCAATTAGGCTGCAACAATTGGTCGATCAATCGTAATTCGTTTTGTCAACTCAAAAATGATTCTTATTTTTATCTTGGGCCCATTTTTTTCATTGCTTATTTTATTAAACAGCAAACAGAAACATACACAAGACACACAGATAGATCCAGGACACAAGAAACTATCCACACAGAAGAATCTAACCTTTTTTGGATGATGGTTTAATGACAAACTGCTCCACACACACAGGTCTGCAAAGAAATGTGGACATTATCAATCATACAATAGATATATTTTTTGAACTGAAACCCGGACATCACCTTTTCACGCACATCAGCATAAGATAAAGAGATTAAGAGTTCCTTTATTTGTCTCACAGTTGGGAAATTTTAGTGTTGCATCACAAGTTCCAGAACAGTAGGAATGAGGAGCACACAACATGTTAAATGAACAATGACTCTACACTAAAATGAAATAAAATAAAATGTCTAACTTGAGACTGCAACTTGACCATATGACCCTGTAGTATCATCTGTATATTATGTTTCACACAGTCGCTCCCCTTGGAAATAAGCATCACCAGTGAGATTGGCTGAAGGAGAATAGTTTGACCGATCATGATGGGTGTCTGTCAAGGTTTTTAAGTGTACACAATCAACACGTGAAACACTACAACCTTTAATGCAATGTCAGTCCCTGTTTTGAAATAAATGCGTCCAATCATGAAGTTCTGGGGGCGGGTCTAAGCGTTCAAAAAACGTCTCTCCATCTTCACAATCTGAAACATCACTGACCTTCACTTAAACAATCTGTCTGTGCTAGTGTTTTTTTTATCTAGACAAGGATATTAAAGCAATCCACTAGGAACTCTTTCCAAACAGCTATAACAACGTGGAGTAAAATACAAGTGTAAATTGTTGTCTTGAAAGTCAGTATCCCATCCTAACCCAAAACACCAGTTCTGATTATCCAATAAATATATTTAACACGCCAGTAGATGTTTAAGATAATATTCTCTCTTTCTAATGCACCGTTTCCAAGCAGTTACACAAAGCCCTCAAATGAAATCACACACTGTTTTTCTTTCTAACACACCCATCTCCTTTCTAATTCCCCTTCCCTCCTCTTTCCCCTCTCTTTCCTTTTATGGGCATCAGTTTCTCTGGCCATTAGCCGCAGTCACACAGATCATGTTGCACTGGGTCATAGCCGCGGAGAGAGAGAGAGAGAGCGGCAGAGGCAGACAGACATAAAGCAGGAGAAAATGTGGCGTGGAGAGCTATAGCTGAGACTTCAAAGAGGCTTCCAGCGCTGCGGCAGACTGCACTTTCCTCCCCCCCCTGCCCCCCTCCCATACTCCCCCCCCCCTTTTGCGCCAGCCCTCCCCGCCCCGGAGCATCGCATCATGGCTCCTGACGTTCAGGCGCTGCTTGTTTGTTGGTTAAATGCTTCCTGGACTCGCCATCATTTCCAGGCCGATACGATTCCCTCTTCTTTTTGTGTGTGTGATTGTGTGTGTGTGTGCGTGTGTGTGTGTGTGTGTGAGGGGAAAGGCACAAAGACGTGACCCAGGGCGCCCGCCTCCGCTGCCCATTAAAAGTCCATGAGAGGTGACATGACTGGCAGGCGGTTACGGAGCGTGGGTGTGATGCCTTATATCTCCCAACAAGCCAACGACACTAGGAGCTGAGGTTCAGACGGGGATTACCTGCTCCAGATATAAGAACAGAATGTTAGATGTATGTTTGAATGCTTTGGGATTGGCCAGAATGGTATAAATCCATATTACATGAAGGATTTGAGAGGTTATCTACATGTAAAGGAATGTGTTGATGATCAAATTCGGGAAGAATATAATGAACATACAAACAAGAAATTCTAATACAAAAATAATGTCAGAGTAGCTCATATTTTCAGGAATACTGCCCCTGCCTGGCACCAGCAGGAGGCCAGTCCCTGTGCTGCAGTCTATTCTCTGAGCCACAGGAAGTCAGAGCAGAGGCATGAGCTAATGTGCTTGTTCTTACTCTTCACAATCCTGCCAAAATCTCAATTGATCTGAAGATAATGAATGACATTGTTGAGGTAAGTTTGGCAGCTTGTGTTTAGCTATCGCTGCCTAATTATTTCCAATGGTGTCACTTCCAAGCGCTCCAAAAGCCTCTGCTTACACATCTGGCCTAATAAATGCTCCCTTTGTCATTTGGTTTATACACTTTGCTGTGCTCTTCCAGACTGAGTGCAGCTGACTTCAAAGGCACAGTTCGCACAGAGCTGGGAGCAGAGGGTGTTGTTTTGGTTTGGGGAAAGCCGCTGGCTCTGAGCCAACTGCTCTGCTGTTTTTCATGGAGCAGGTACACAGCAGAGAACAGCCTGATCCCGCAGTAACTTGAAAATGCACTAAGTTGGTCCATCATCGCTGAGGACAGTCTGTCTTGTGCCTGGATGATTCTGTCCCTGTTCCCCCCACTCCCCTCTCTGTCCTCATCCAACCCTGCACACAACAACAAGAGCAGCTCTGCTCTCCAGTCACTGTCCTCCCCCTCACACTGGAGCTGTCAGCCCGAGTCTGTGGCACTACAGAGGGAGTGAGGGGGCAGACAGACAGCCCCTGCTGCGCCGCCTCTGAGTCCCCTACACTGGTGACCCAAACGGGGCCCATCAAGCAGCCATAATGCCAGATTATATCACTCCTCAAGAGCAGCTCTTCTCACTCACTGGGCTGCGTGTCTTCATCAGTCAGGTCCAGCTCTAACTCTATGAAGCCTAATCTCCCATCACAAAAGACGAGTCACTCACGGACTCTCTTCAAACTCATGATATCATCAGGGGCTCTCCACGGGCAACCGGCGATCCTGTCATGTTAGCCTCTTTTGTCATACACTACCAATAAGCTGCCCTTTTGAGAACGCTCACCTCTGCTGCCCCCTAAAGACAATAGTCCTACTTTCTGTCACAAAACAAGTGCCTTTAGCCGCACATGAGAATAATAAATGCTTTCAAGTGGGCTCAGTCTTGCCGAAAGAACACGGCTGAGCTCCGCACCCATTTCAGAGCTATTAACCTTGTGAGCCATACAGAAAGAGCCCAATTTTAAAAACGTGCATTATGTCCTGCCAGGCTGAGACACCTTCAGACAGCGGGAAGAAAAGGCCGAACTGTTTCAGGCCTGAGTGCACAAGAGCGGGAGCCTCAAAGAGATTAGACAACACACCAGCGGCCATATTGAACCGGCACACAGGGCTGCCAGCACCAAGGTCGGCTCCTTTATACCGCGCCAAGACGGCCGGCAGACTTCGGCGCTCTGTGAATGAATGAGCCGGTGAATTGGAGGGAAAGATTTGGTTGTGGCGCGGTGCATTGGGGCGGTGCCAAAAGAGATTAACAGGAAACACTGGCATCATTGTTGACATGTGGAGCGATCTTCTACCCACAATACAATGCGAGCCGGAGTGGGCGGACATGAGAGAGACTCAAAATCCTTTCAGTGCTGTGCCAAAACACACTAACCAGACAACAGTTATTTGGTTAACACTGTTTTTTTTGTAAATATTGTGGGCTCTATTCGCTGTTGCTTCAAACTGGATCTGACCGCTCTAGGTCCTGTCTCCATGCCAACCATATGGATCCTTGTGACGCTTTCAAAGACTTACTGTAACTTTACCTTAGAGCCCAAACTTAGGATCAGTAATCGTATATAAAACTATTTTACTATTACTAACTTTAATCTCACAACACCTTGTTCACTCTGAGCATTTGATTTTAAAAGTAATTCAATTTCAACTACGGAATTGAACGCATCATGTTTACTCCCCTTGCCCCACATAACAAAACCAAACAAAACTGTATTTCATCGCATTAATCAAAATGAATTAGTATTATGTATGTGTCCAAATTCTGACACTGACGCTTAAGGCCTCAATGTTGATGAGTGTGCATTGTCCCAACTCAATAAATAAATGAATTCAATATAAAAAATGAAATGCTCTTAAATGCATCTGCTGGCCTTGTCTCAGTAGTATCCGGTTTACCTGGTTACATGCAGCAAAAACGCCGAGGACTTGGTTTGATCCAGTTACCCCAAGAATCTCAGTCGGACCAGGCCAAATCCAGTTTTTGACTAGTGCTTGGGAAACATATTATTTGTCTTGGTTTGAGGTCTAGAAAAAAACTATAGTGATCAAGGGTTTTTTTGTGTAGACCTAAACTTCAAGATGATATTTTTTACTTGTTTAAAGGCACACCGCGGACTTTGTGACCTAAAGAGTTGACACATATGAGTTATTTTATATGAATACTTGGGCCAATATACAGCGCTTGACACTTGCAATGCTCCGAGCGGGGCTGCCCTCTTGAAATACCGCCCATGTAAGTTTCGAGCAGACGGACCGTCTGCCACCAGGTCACGTGACTTGGAAGAAAGACTTGCTTTACGGCTACAGGCGCTGATATACTCATGGAGCTAAGGCTTTTGCTACTCATTTTTCACCTGCTCGACTCCTGGTCATGGCTGAGGCAAGGAAAAATTTTAAACCTTCGGAGGAGGCTAAAAAGAGTATGTATGAGCGCTGCTCTTCACCTGGTTCCTGGATGTCATCGACTGCAAAGATGTCATTCCACGCAGCACGAGCTAGACGCAGAACTCCCTCATCCAGGATATAGAAGTCCATGTGTGGTAGATTACTAATGCAGCGGTCTGGAGGCTGACCACAGCAGAGTCTCTCAATATCTGTAGGCATGTCTCTACAGTTTGAACACACACACCAGTGCATGCTGTCTGAATACACACTCAAAAGACACCGGCTGACTGTTTGTTGACTTTTGCGACAGTGCTGAGTTGCTTGTGGCCACTAGGGGCGCTAAACGTGAAAGTTGCAGGTCTAGCGCCCCTAGTGGCCAAGAGTTACACGGTGTGCCTTTAAATCCCTATTATGTTTCTTTTTTGCTTTTTGCAGCACTTACAAAACCCGGCCAACTTCCACTCGGCGGCCACGGAGCTGCTAGACTGGTGTGGAGATCCCCGGGCCTTCCAAAGACCTTTCGAGCAAAGCCTCATGGGATGCCTGACGGTACGTAAACACCAATTATGTCTTTTAGTAGCAATGCAAGACTCAGTGGAAACGCTGTGGTGAAAAGAGGTCGCTGTCTTACTCACTTTAGTTCATTTGATTCTGAGCAGCTAAATAATCAGAATATATAGCTACCACCACTATCAATAAACATATTTTTATTCATAGAATCCATAAATGTGTGTATTGTTCTGATATTCCGTTTATTTCCTGAGATATGAATTAATAAAGTTGACGAATATGAGGCAGAGTGGGCAACAGATAGTCTGGACTCTGAAAAAAAATGAGTCGGGATATCCTCGGCATTCCGCGCGGGTTAATGACGTCGCCGCGAGGTGATATTAACCAGGTAAACAGATCACTTATTACTGCGCATTACGGTGAAAGCGGCATCTCTCCAGCTGTTGCGGTTACGGAGATATAATCCGACGAACTTAATAGCAAAATACACGGTAAGTAACCGGGATTTTGGAAAACCAACACCACACACATACATCTAAGATTATAAGCTTTAGAATGATGGTATATTTGAATCATGTCACGGTTGTTTTGACCCGCGGATCAGTGAATAAAGTTGAAAAACCGCCGCGCTCATCACACACTGTGCTCTGCTGCTGAAGCGGCAGGCAAGTCCGGGCGAGTCCACTTTTCCGGGGGGTAGAAACGCGAGTCACGTGGCCCAAACGGACCAATGCCATTGGTTGGACTAATCCATTTTACATGTTAACAAGGGTGTTTGGGTTAGTTAACATGTTTAAAGCTCGAGTCTGTAACTTTAGTCTCATAAATAACATGCTTAAAGCTGAGGTCTGTAACTTTAGTCTCGTAAATAACACATTTTTAAAGCTGACGTCTGTAACTTTAGTCTGATAAATAAGATGTTTAAAGCTGAGGTCTGTAACTTTAGTCTCATAAATAACACATGTTTAAAGCTGGGGTCTGTAACTTTAGTCTCATTAATAACGTTTAAAGCTGAGGTCTGTAACTTTAGTCTCATTAATAACATGTTTAAAGCTCGGGTCTGTAACTTTAGTCTCATTAATAACATGTTTAAAGCTCGGGTCTGTAACTTTAGTCTCATAAATAAAACATGTTTAAAGCTGAGGTCTGTAACTTTAGTCTCATAAATAACACGTGTGTGTGTGTGCATATGCCAAAAACATTTCTAAGCATCATATTTAGATTGCTCCATCAATTACCTTTATTTTGATATATTACATAGTAGTTTGAAAAAAATGTTTTCCGGATTTCCTGTTGGCAGCCATCTTGGATAAGCTGGCGGCCATATTGGAATCGGGGTCGGCCAAATTGTAAAATGAATATCGAATTCAACATCCCTGAATTGTTTCCTTCTTTACTGTGAATTTTAATGTTTATAGTTAGTAAAATAGGGAAGTTACAGCACTTAGAAGATGAATAAAGGCTTGAACTGGCTGAATAGAAGGTTCCACAGTATCCCTTTGTTTTAAACCAAATTACTTTCACTATAAGCGCCTAAAAGCACTTATCAATATGGTAATAAAATCATAACCACTTATCCGATTTTCATAATTCAAAAACTGTTTTATTCCTCTTACTGAGCTGGAAAGTACTGTGCTGAATTAAATCTGATTTGGTAATTTAAAAATTGTAATCTTGCATTGCTACTTTTAGGTACTTTTTAGAAGCAAAACAGTAATTAAACAAAGAGAAATATGAGCTGTCCACTCCCAACGTGTTTTTGTTCAAACCTGACCAAATAGTCTCGCCAGACTTTTTGTTTTCGCCAGATAATTTATGGAGTTGGAGTTCACCAGTTGTTGTGCGGTACATTTTATACCTCCCTTTTTCATAACATTTTAGATCAATACGTTTACATGCGCAGTGATAAAAATCCCAAATGATTGTGTAAAACATGCGGTTCAAAGATATAAGAAATAGATAAGATATAGATGTGAGCAGAGGTGTATATGTTGTTGTGTAGTTATTATTCTTATCTAAAGCTTGTGTCAGACATTGCAGTAAAATAATAACAATTGTAGTTACCTGTCAAAACAATGGAATAATATTTACCTCTGCAGTGAGTGCGTATACAAAGCAGTATGTTAAAAAAAAATCACTTTATTCAGTGGCTTTACCAAACCAGTCTGACAGGTTTTGGTGTTTGGTCTTTGGTTCTGCCACGCCACAGTGAAGCCGCTCAAGGTTTTAGAGATTTGGAGGCTTTCAAACGCATCTCGTAACTTCCTGTGTTGGATTCCACCTCCAGGCCTTTCTGTCTGTCGTTTGCATGTTCTCAATTGGCAACGATTTGGTTTTGGTGGTTACATGCAGCTCAACCACATTCAAATCAACACAGCACTTGCATTTGGACTGATTTTCACATCGCATGCGTCTTTATCAATGGAATTAAATTGGAGCGGGTGGAGAATTCGGTTCTCACAAGTGTTTATTAAACCCACTCGGTTGTTACCTGCAGCATATATATCCGTTTTGGAACGTTCCCAGTCGTGGTTCCTTTTTGGAAAGTCGATCCCAAGCACATTTTTCTACATGTGTTTGAATCATTTTTGGAACAGGACTAAGAGGACATTTCATCTGTGTTTCCTAGCTTTCAACTTCTTTTTAACATGCTTCAGTTTGATAACTTTTCCCCACTCAAATTAAATAATGGGCCTATTACAAATTTTAATTGTTTATCTTTAGTCATTTACTCTGAAATGTCAAAACCAAGCAGCATTTGTCAGTCTCACCCAAAACCTTAAAACACACTCCTTTCTCTTCCATGCCCATAACCCTTCAAGATTCCAGATTCAAGAATGTATTTGCCATTTGCAGTAAAACCCCATTGGAATAGCTGTGCAAGACTACCCCAGTGTGCACCAGCATAGTACTGTACACACCAGAGCTCTTGCCACACCGCCATTTCCCCGGCGCCCTTAACATCATAACTATTATGTATGTGTACGTACGCAAGTCGACTTAAGTGCCGTGTCACAACTTTGTTCATGTGATCAACTTGTCGGCACTGTACGTGAAACAGAGCGGGAGGTGAAGCACAGAGGGAAGAAGGCCACTTGGCTTTATAGCAAATTTGAAAAAAAAGATATCATGGGATGGTATTTGAGTCACATTTATTGCCATGTGACTGGAGGTGCTGTGGAGTAGTTTGGATGTGGTATGGGGGCAGGTCAATACAATATTATACAATGCATTTACGGCACATCTTTGGTGCTCTCCTCTGATTTCCAACCCAGAAATAAACAAGGGGGCAAAACATTTATGGATGGATCTATGGCACAAGCACAGAACAAAAACATTTGCTTTACGACCTTAGTTGTTGACTGATATACGCAAACAAAGTCGACTTTCAAAATTATAAAAATAGTTTGCCTCCAATGTAAGTTTGAGGTTATACTTTCTGTAAGACGTCTCTGAGTTCTTTTCCATAGAAATTATTCTTATGATTGCCACCGTGTTCGGAGACGCCCACCAGGTAAATACTACACCTGCACTTTCAGATGTATTGTATCACGTTATACTCACTTATACCAAAGCAAGTCCCCGAGCGCTCAATCCTGTGACATTTTCCAACCTTATTCCCGTTCGCCCTCTGCAGTCGATGCTCCGCTCTCGGGCTCCTCCTCACAGATCCGTGTCACTTACAGCCCGCGCTCCCTGGTATTGAGCGGTGATCCCAGCGGCCGCTCGCTCCGCCTGGGTTCACCGGCAGAGGTTAAAGTCCTTGTCACTGACACACAAACTGGAGTAGCAGGCTTAAACGGGCCACTCCACCTCTGCCTCTCCCCTTTCACTTCTGCAGCCACTACAGCGCATCGATCGGGGGCGCGGTGCCGGGACGAGGTGGGCCTGGTAAATCCACCTCGCCGCTGAGAAGCAACAGGACCAAGTGAGAGCGCGGGTGTTGGACAGGGCTGGAGGTTGGAAGGACAGGGATAAACACACTTACATGTTGTGGGTGTGTACGCAGAGATGGCACCCATAAATACTTAAATATTGGTGATTGGTGATTAAACTCTGGGCACGAAATCTCATCAGTGTTACTGTCTTTTTACATGATCCATTTTACGTTTAGACGGAAAAATACGTGGATGCATCTTAAATATTGTACCACTACATGCAACATCAATACCATAGCATTGAATATCATATCCAAAATGTGAATTAGTAAATACAACTTCACGTATTTACATACATTTGTTTTGTATGCAACGATCATTGCATACAAAACACACCAAATGCATGGTTTCATTTATTATATTTAGTGAATTTAAATTGATGACAACTTTTGTCATCTGTCTTCATCGTTCAAATTTTTTCTGAGTGTATTAATATAGTGTTTATTTGTGTTATAGATACTGTAGATAGATAGAGAGATACTTTATTGATCCCGTAGGAGATCATTTGTAAAAATGTTCACGTTTTAAGAATCAGAATTCTTTTTATTGCCATGTGAGTAACAGGAAGTCAGAACCAGAGATTCACACGTGGTTTTATACCAAAATATACGATATCTCCCCTCAGCACCTGCCGCTTTGCCAGTAGATACGTTTGCTTTGACCTTCAGATCAACAAAATTCCTGTTTATATTTTTTATAAATGACCGAAACTAGATCGCGGATACAAGTGGTCGAAATTAGCTTCCTCCGCAGAGTGGCTGGGCGCTCCCTTAGAGATAGGTTGAGGAGGTCAGTCACACGGGAGGAGCTCGGTGTAGAGCCACTGCTACTCCATGTCGAGACAAACCAGTTGAGGTGGCTCGGACATCTGTTCCGGATGCCTCCTGGACGCCTCCCAGGGGAGGTGTTCCGGGCACGTCCCACCGGGAGGAGGCCCCGGGGAAGACCCAGGACACGCTGGATGTCTCTCAGCTGGCCTGGGAACGCCTTGGGGTCCCCCCGGACGAGCTGGAGGAAGTGTGTGTGGATAGGGATGTCTGGGCGTCTCTGCTTAGACAGCTGCCCCCGCGACCTGGCAACGGATGAAGCGGAAGAAAGTGGATGTATGGATGGATGGATTTACTATAAAAAAACATATTTATTTTAACAGTCCGTCTCTTTCGCCCACTTACACCTCTGCCCATCCACACATGTTTTGGTACCAGAGGCGAGTGGGCACTAACCTCTCTCCTGCAGCATTCTCCTCAGCTGCCGAGCTAGCGTGAGCAAACCGATAAAGTCCCATTAATGTGTAAATGAGAGGAAGCTCCTTACAGGCTGATAAAGAGCCATACAATAGAGTCAGCAGGGGGCCGCCACTATCAGCCCCATCTGACTCAACCGCCTCCTTATCCTTACAACGGCAGCGTGCAACAAGTCTATATTAGGATTAAGCCATTTATACCAAGCAACGACTGCCGAAAAGAGGGTCACCCAAATTCTTGAACAGAGCAAATCCTTATATGACATAACATGGCTCTTACACGGAGGCCTTCTTGCAACGTTTCCGCCAATTCTTGCGACATACAGTATAATCCTAACCGTAGGAGTTTAAGTCCCACACTCTAAACATCATCCACTTGAATCCGTGTCAACCGGAAGAAACTACATATATTTGTTGTTCAATCTGACAAACAGATGAATAAAGAAGCAGGCCCCTGTCTCCGCTCCCTGTGTTATTGTATCGACTGGAGTATGGATCCAAAAAACTGAGCTGAAAAGGAGATTGTTATGAGGTGGGGAATGGGGAAATCTATGCTCGCTTTTGGGAGCGTACATGTGGCCCATTTGAATCAAAAGTTAAGGCGTTTTTTAAGGGTATGTTTGCTCAAGCTCAATATGAAAGGAAAGGAAAGGATTGTTGTGTGTGTTTAACCACAAATCGATTGAAGACGATGGGAGAAAATTATCCTTTATTTGTCCCACAGTGGGGAAATGTCAGTGTTGCATCACCAGTTACAGAACAGAACAAACAAGGAGATAAGTGAACAAGAAAAATATAACATCTCTAGCTTTAGCATAATAAGATGGATATTTTTTTTTTACTTACAAAACTCTTTCTGTGGGAACAATTCCAGATGTATCACTTATTACAAAAAAGTAAGTTAGGTACCACAGCTTTAAAAAAACTTAAAAATACCCAGCCTTTTCATGTCCTTTTAATCCAGGCATGTCCAAACTCAGGCCCAAGGGCTAATTGCGGCCTTCAGTTTCATTTTATATGGCCCTCTGCCTTGCTAACCCAAAGCAGTCTTTGAGATAACAAGCACAAGTTCACTGTGTCATCCATCCAACTTCAGCTCAGCCAATATAGACATGTCGTGACTCCTTCTAAAGCCTGAAAGTCTGGATTTCAGCCGTTGACTTGTGAGCTGGTGATATGTCATTGTAAAGCCCGATGCCAGTCAAGACGGATTTTCAGTCCGTGACGTCGGCCCCTGGATTAGTCTGATGAACTAAAGTGGCCCTCTTGCTAAAATGTTTGGACACCCCTGTTTTAATCCATGGCTTATTGAGAATAATATTCCATTTTAACATACACACACATTCAATTCAATTCAATACAATTTATTTTTGTAATGCCCTAAATCACAACCGCAGCTATCTCGGCGGACTCGTTGATTCGCACAACACAGATCAGAGAATCAAACCATTCAAACACAAGAAATGCAATGAAAGAAAACACATATGTTGCTATTGGTCCATTTGGGTGCAGATGACCCATGTCCATAAATGTTAATGATTGGACATTGACAACGTAATATGACATTTTTGGGCACTTTTTTGTGTTCTTCCTCTTTCATTAGTGATGGTTTTCACTCAGGAGCCATGATTCCTCCAAGAGAAGCTCAGCAGGCCTCCGCAGTCTGTCTTCTGGCTCCCTCTTCTGACCTTGTTAAGTCTAAATGTGTGTGCTGAGGTCAAGCGGAGCAGCCACTGGTCACAGATTAAAGAGGAGTGGTCTTCGTATTAATAGTGATTTAGCAGCGTCCCTCTGGTCCTGTCTCATGTCACGTCACATCAGCCATAACATTACACACAGGTCCCATAAACCTCCTCCTCTCCCGTTTGAAGACACAGCGGCTGATTATTCAAAGCTTAAGGCTCGAAGCTGTAGTTTCTATCAAGAAGACCGTGTTTGACCTTTGTTCAAAGAAACATATTTAATAGTCATTGTCTTGTGGAGAGTTATGGCGGGTTTGTCGTGAGGAAGGCCAAAAGGATTCACGGTGTGTCAGGATCGTGGGATCGTTTAGATTGGGTCGCAAGACATTCCTGGACAAGATATTAAAAGTATGTATCTACCTAATCCAAATGTATCTGCAACTACACTGCAAAAGTCTAGAAAGAGGTAGAATACAAATATATAAAAAGGATTTGATTTAAGCAAATGTCATTGCTTAAATAAAATTGAAATTCAAACTAAATACTGAAATAAACAAGAAAATAAATTACTTTTCCCATTGGCAGGTTTGGCAAAGTTTTCTAACCTAAAAGAAGGTTATGCAACTTTTTATATGAAGAGAAAAAAGTCAATATTTTTGTATACCTACAACCCACAACAGTTTTTTGCAGTACACGCACATCCTTTCAGCGTTATTTTTTGATGGGTCTTGACACCGTCCCAGAATTTAGCCACTGCCCACGGTGGACTGTCTGTCTGGTGGGTCCAAAGTGCGGCTCCGTGTTAGCTCCCATCACAGTTCGGTTTCCATGGCAACGCTAAGCAATCCCGTCTTGAAATTAGGCAGTGAACCAACACACACCGTGTGCCCCTGCGCTTACAATTATTACATAACAAACTCCTCATGATGTTTTACTCAACGCATGTCTTTATGGACCAATACCAATGGGTTTTTTAGTTTCACCTCTCAACCCACATCACATCAAGCATAAATCATAAACATTAAAATCTACATATACATATATAAAACGATTCAAAACAAAGATTGAAATCACAAGAAATATTAAGAACATTATAAAATCACAAGTAATGAATAACCTTAAAAATATTAAACCTTATTAAAATAATAAATAACCACAGTGCATTCAAAAGAGTAAATATAAAATCTTTCCTAAAACAAACTGTTTTTAACCTGGATTTGAAAACTATCAGAGTAGACGCCAGCCTCACATTTTCGGGAAAATTATTCCAGATTAGATTACAAGAATACATTGAATTGCACTTCCTATAGGTTCAAAACAGTCCCATTTCTCCCTAATCCAACAGACACTCTCTCTCTTGACTCTGCTTCCTCTCGGAGAGCTAAGGTGAGCAGAAATGCACGTGTTTCCGCATGGCCTGGCGGTGGCGGCAGCGGCGGTGGCGGCGAAGCGGGCCCTCGCCGTGTGCAGAGGTTGAGGCGTTTGGACGGAGGATGACTGCAGCTATCAGACTGCAGACTCCACATTAATCTCACTTTGTCTGTCTTGGGCCGTGTGAGTGTCTGAGCAGCAGGATGCGCTTGTCCACAAACGGCAGTCAGTCCAGTCAGAGCGATGAGTCAGTCTTAGCACTGTTTGGAAAGTGGAGAGATTAGAAACGCACACTCGGGATTATGCTTTTTAACACCCGTTTAAACCCAGCGCTGCTGTTTGGACAGAGACAGGCACATTACTGACCATTGTTTCCATGTTTCTCAGCCACGCCCTCAGGATCAAAATAACAAAGGAGAAAAATAATAATTATGACTGCGCAGTTTGGTTTCTCAAAGAAGAGTGTGTAATGACTGTGATTATAGTTATAAATGTGAGTGTTTATTTTTTTTGATTCAAAAGTGATGCACTAATAAAACAACATGTCTCCAACTTGTTTAAGCTTGGGTTTGAAAATAAATGAACCCTACACTTCTTGCACTAGAGAAAACAGTATTTTCTTCTTTTCCCCTTTTATTCAGCTAAATATATAAATTTTATTTTTTTAACTTTTTCAATATAGAGTTGTGCTATACTTAAGATTCTCTTATCTTGTGTTGCGCTGTGGCAAGATCTCTGGTGTGTGCGATCTGATGCACAATGGGGTAGTCTTGCACAGTTTTTCCAATTTGGTTTTACTGCAAAGGGCAAATAAAGTCTTGAATCTTGAATAATCATACTGTTCTGTTGGTGGTGTAACTGAAATGTCCACACCGTTGGACAAATAAACAACCTATTCATCTTTAACTTCAAAGTTAAAGTTACAGTTATCTGGACAGACGCACACAACAGACAAGGGATTAGTTTATACTTACAGTGGTGAGGAATGACTGGGATCGAAGGAGGACAAAACCAGTGCTGCTTACATCGTTCTCCCCCAGTCACTTCTGAACTCACTGCTCCCACAAAGTGAGCTTTATTGAAAGATAAAACACCCCCAACCCTTACAGAATAGCCCCAAAAGTAAAACATTAACCACTTGTTGGACATCATCTTGCAATATAGTTTCACAAAACATGTGGATAATTATTAGCTTGGTTTCAACACCTCAACGGTAGATTTCCACACTCCAATGTAGGTCAACCCAAAGTTGTCTAGACTTAATATATTCACATTCATTAATATGCTAATAAAACATACAATTTCTTTACATAAACAAAGAGAGGACCACCCTCACTCGGCCAATCAGCTCTCAGCCCAAAACGTGAAATAGCGATTCACAAGGCTCTTTCTTACAAGTCTGCAAAAGGTGTAAAAGTTGTACATTTCTCCATTGTGAGATCAATGAAGTTTATCTTATATTTTCTAATTAGATGAAACCTGTTGTTCTGTTGTGGTTTGACTTCTAACCCTAACATTTTACATAATTCTTTCTTTTGGGACAGACGTCAAACCTCATTGTGCCAGACCCAACATTGTCTCACGTGTACGACAATAGCAGCGTCTCATGTCCTCATTGCTCTTCTTGCTCTCCTGGTGCAGGTGGTGAGCCGCGTTGCCGCTCAGCAGGGCTTCGACTTGGACCTGGGCTACCGGTTGCTGGCGGTGTGTGCGGCTAACCGAGACAAATTCACACCCAAGTCTGCAGGTAAGAGAGACGTCCAGCCCCCCCGCTATGCTAGCTGTTGCATGATCCCATTTACTGCAGTTGATTTGCTCACAGTGGACAGTGCATCGCCTCCATTATTGACTTGTCCTGCTGAAAAAACCCCACAAAAAAACACCATTCTACCGCTTTTTCCAGTCATGTTCCACTCAGTGTTTCAAATTGTGTTATCGCCGGCATGAACTGGCTCTACAGAAGCTTTTTGTGTTTTCTGAGCTAAACGCGCGGTATTAATTTGCGGTATTATTATGACTTCATACAGCCGCAAACAACCGCTGCAACCACATGCAATAATAGGGACTGCCCACCGAGGATTGTAATGTCAGATATTTTTAGTTTCTCATGAAAAATTAATGTGCCATGGAGATGAGCTGGCCAGGTGGTAGTTACAGGCACTTGGGAGAGACCCGCTGCAGCAAATATTAAGCTATTTTTGCTTCATTCTGGGTTTTAAACAATTAGACGGATACACACAGGTCGCTGTTCGTTCACGGAGACGCATTCTTTGTTGTCTTTGGGTCCAGCGTTGAAGTAAATGGATTGGAATGATTAAAAAATTGTTATACTTGCAATGATCTTGTGTTTGAAAATACCTAAGTAATTGTGTCATTTGTACAGAGTTGTGTATAGTGCAAAACGTGATGACATATGAATGGAATAGAATAAATGTTTATTAATTTGAGAACATTTTGAGAGTCTGAGGACGAAACAAAATTATCTTGTTTTGAAAAGATTGAAGAAATGTCTCGCTTGGAATGAGAAAACTAAAGCAGTAGTTCTTGAAATATTTGACTAAATGGCTTCGTCCCATTGGCAAATCTTGTTTCAAAAAGTCAGAATGAAGATAAAAACTTCTCGATTCAAGCATATATTAACACATATTTTATCCGTTTTTTGCAGTGTATGAACATTTTTTACATTTCTCCATATCTTTGTTGCATAAGTTGAAGTTTACAAAGATAGATTCATTGTTTGTTTGGTTGTTCAGTCCTTTATGTATGCTAGTTTATTGAAATTACATAAAAAAATTACTTTCACAGTAGTTGAACATTTTTAAGTTTTTTTCCCTTGTCATTCTCACACTCACACTATAATAGTATTAGTAGTATTTAGGGTGATTTCTTCATGTTTAAGACAGTATTGTCCTGAATGAATTTGAAGCCCACATGGTCCCATTTCACATGGTCCCAGTTCACATGGTCCCAGTTCACATGGTCCCAGTTCACATGGTCTTATGACACTGAAACCAAAAAGGGGAAGATGGTCAAAGTTACAACAATCATTTCCGCTCCGGATGCAGCGTCCTCTGTCTCAGCGTCCAGGTCTCTCACCAAAAGTGACCAAACAAGACTTTTCATTTCAAATAACTAACAAGAAAAGGAAAGGCAAGTTTATTTGTATAGCGCATTTCATACACAAGGGAACTCAAAGTGCTGAACAAAACCAGAAACAGTCACACAAAGCATTCAAATCATAAATAATCACAGTGCATTAAAAAGATAAGAAAACGTATAATCCCTCAGTTGTAAAGCACAGCTGAACAGAACTGTTTTTCGACATTGTCAGAGAAGAAGCCTGTCTCACATTTTCAGGAAGATTGCTCCAGATTTTAGCAGCATGAATCTGAAATGCAAAATTTGTGTTATTATTTGATCTCATTCAAATAAATTCTTAAATTCCTGATCCTGGATAGTGGGATTTTATTCAAAGTTTGCATTTTATTTAACGTAGATGGAGGCAAAAAACAGACAAAAACACATTTGAACCCAAGCCCAGAGAGGTAGGAAGATAAAAGGGGAAAACATTAAAATATGCTGAATACTTTTCTCACACATTTGGATGGTTTGCCTTTTCTGTGTGACAATAAATCAAAAACATTACGTATTTCCAGACTATTTTGTTAAAGTCTTGAGTTCAGGTTTAGCAGCTTTCAGAGATTATCATCAAACAGTTATATAATTGCAGCGTTAGTGATTTGCTAATTGCAGCTAGCACTAATGTGTTTCTGATTCCATTGCGGTCAATCTCGTGCCATATTATGTATTTGAATCCAATAAATGTGATGCATAATAAAACTGGATGCTAAAATACACAACTGACATCATTTGGACATTTGCTTAACAACCTTTTTTTCCCATAACGTACTCTCCCATTTTTTACAATCCCATTTCCCCTTGAAAATATTTATTCAGTTAGCAAAATTTACATTGCTAAAACACTCAGTCAGTGCTGTTCCAAAGCTGTAAAAAGCTCCTCATACAAATGTGTTTAAGTGCAAACACATTACACTCAGAAATATCCTTTTTTTTTCTCCCCTTTTTACTGAGACTTTCCAATTCTGTCAAATAAACATCTTCAGAAGGCAAATATCCTCTTTCAGCGGCGGTGGAAGCGTCTTGCGGAGAGGGAGGGTAAGTGGGTAGACTGCTCGGGCGTATTGATTGGCGCATTTCTCTTTCTGTCTGTGTTCCTGTGGATGTAATGCGATTGTTGTCCAGGCATGGCTCGGCTCTGACCGTGATGCTTCTGGGATCTAATAGGAGCCAGCGCAGGGCTTGCAGGAAAGGGCTGTTCCGAAATGGGAACTGTGGTGTAATTGGGATGGAGAGGAAGCGGGGGTGATACTGTATGACGCGCCCGACGAGCAGATGCGACTCAGGGCTGGACCTCGTGTGTGTGTGTGTGTGTGTATTTTTGCGAGCGGCGTCCATCTTGCCTCCAATGCAAGGATTTGTGTCTGAGAGCGCAGACCAGAAGGCGACAGGAGATGCATAGGTGCAGTATTTGCCAGGCCGCATCCATCAGGGCCTCTGAACTGAATCTAATCCAGCCATTAGCCCTTGTTCACTGTAAAAAAGTGATCAAATATAAGGCAGTTAGTTCTTACATTAAGGAGTTTTTTTCTTGGTTAGGACAAGTGCAGTGGCCATTTTTTCTCAGGAGAATTAGCTTGTCCCATTGGAAAATCTGTCACTTTTTAATATCATACCTCTGATCACTTATCAATAATCTCCACTGTTAGGATAAGATAAAATATGATAAGCCTTGAAGTAAGTAAGTAATCTTTATTTATATAGCGCCTTTCATCCCAATTGTTATTTTTGGGCATTTGTCTCTATCCCCACAGAGATCGGAGTGAGGTCTTGCTTCGTCCCACAGTGTGAAAATTTCATTGTTGCACACATAACAGAAGATTAAAAGGAGGAAATAAGAGCACTGCACACATCTAACTGGATCTATTATACAAGTTAATACATAATAAATATATGTTATTTATCATAAAATACTATGATGTTAAAAGAATACACAAATGTCTATTGTGTGCCTTATAGGGTCTATTTTTTTTACTTGTTTGCACTGTGAGCCAAAGCTAATTCCCAGTTTGTGACCTCCTGCGATTAAAAATGGTTGGGAGGTTCTTTTCGGTGGTTCAGGCGGCACGGTGGCTGAGTTGGATAGCACTCTCGCTTCTCAGCAAAAAGGTCTTGGGTTGGAATCCCAGTCGGAACAGGGCCTTTCTGTGTGGAGTTTGCATGTTCTCCCCGTGTGCTCCCCGGGTGCTCCGGTTTCCCCTACCACTAAAAACATGCCCAAAAGGTGTGAATGTAAATGAGAGAGTGAATGGATGGTGTTGATTGGGGTGGAATGATTGGAACAATATCTAAACTCTGAACACTGTGAAGCACTTTGGGTGACCTTGGTCTGTAAAATGCGCTATATAAATAAACATTACTTACTTACTTTTAATTAGACAAAACATTTACAGAAAGCTAGTACTGCTAAGTTACCTGACATGTTTCGACAGTCGACTTCCGCCTTTGTCAGAGGTGACACGTTTTCAGCTGACTCTTATTAGCTGTTGTTGCTGGATGTGGACATAAGAAGACAAAATGAACTTCTTCTTTATCAAGCTAAATATATAGATTTTGTGCCGTACTTAATGTTCACTTATCTAGTGTGTGCTCCTCATACTCATAACTGTAACTCCTGAAATGTCCGAATTGTGGGACAAATAAAGAATCTCTTCATCTTCATCTTCAAAGTAAACAAAGAGAGGACCACACTCACTCCGCCAATCAGCTCTCAGCCCAAAACGGGAAATAGTGAATAGTGAGGCTCAAAAGACGACAAATGAACTTTTTACAGGCGATTCCAATGTATTTTTTTCTGATTTCTCTTTAGTCGGTAGAAGCCCAGTCCATAATATGTACAAGATTGATGTTTTATTCTAACAATGGTGTGATATTTCTGCTGTTCAAAGCCGTGATGTGTTGTACAATTATCCAGCCCAGAGCACATGGTCACCCCAGAAATTGGCCCTTGGAAAAAAAAAAACAATTTGAATAGCCCTGGTGTATGCGCTTTAAACGCGGTACTACTGAGCGGCTTTACATTAAAAGCATGAGACAAACTTCAGTGCTGTTATTATAAAAAAAATTGCTTTGTGGGGATCTGCGAATCTGGGCCCGTGAAGCGAAAGGAACAGTCCTGTCAGAATAATGTTTCACTTTGTCTTATTAGTGCTGCTCAGATGCAATTGAAAAGCACTTAAAGCAGCATGCACTAAATTCAAGGGAAGATAGAAAGTGTTATACGCCCGGAGAATACATTGAGGCAAGAAAGAGATTTGTAGGTTTGGCGTTTTATCAAGACTGCTTTATTCTGTTTGCATGTAACTTTGTGTAGGCTCTTGACCTGACTTGTCTTCTCCGCAGAACGCTTCAGCCAAAAAAGGTGATTAAGCATTCACAAAACAACTTTATAACTGTAATTTGTCATTAAAAAACGGCTATTATTCACTACAGTCTTACACATTTGGTATGGATACTGTAGCCACATCTCAGTTATGGTTTAGGATTTGATTTGTGGCTATGCAAGGAAAGTTTTATCTCTGTAGAGCCTAGAATATTGCATCATCAATATTTGTTTTTACTTTCACTTTTAACAGCAGACCAAAACAGTGAAACCACACATGCTAGTCA